TTACCACAAAAAAAGACATTGAAATTGAGGAGCAGTGTTGTTATAATTTAGTGAATGCGCGTGTTATTTTGAATTTTCAAAAATCATATTGACTTTTTATAAAAAATATATATGTATTAAAATACTAATTCGTGCAGTTTAAAAAATGTTATGGAAAATGTACTGGAAACAAGCATTCCCTTATCTCTAAGCTAAGATTTTAAAAGTAGTGCCAGATGTAAAAGATCACTCGGTTTTCTAGGAAATTTCAACCAAAACTCTAATGCTTTAAATTTTCAGGGCAAATGGAACATATTCATGAAGGAAAAGTGTACATATAAGGAGTCGCTTAGTTCGGTGGGAACAAATGAGTTCATTTTTCCTAATGATTGTCATAGTGATCTAGTTATGCTAATGAATTACGATCAAATTTAAGGTTATTATGACCTTTGATATATATATTTTGTAAACTTTTGTTAGAAAAAAAAATACAATAGATAACGCCATGATTAATCTACGTTGCCTTTTCCACACGAGAGTGTGTCAAACTTGGTCATTTATTTTAAACCACACCATACCATTTCAAAAAATCATAATGTACATGTTTAACTATTGTATAAAGAGAAAAGCGGCCGTTTACCACTACTTTCTAACCATTCAACGGATCTCTTCGTAACATTCAGAGCAGAACTCGATGGCGAAAACGGGTATAAAGTAACGAAAGCGAGATGTTTATTAGGGTCGATAGAAAGGGGAGGTGGCAAAAGAAAAACGCACAGGTAAAGGTAAAGGCCGCAAAGGCCGTCTACCGGCGGGGGCTCGGCGGGCGCGCGCGCCGCGCGGGCGGCCGGGCGGGACAATTCCCTCGCCGTGGACGGGCCGGCTCCGGGCGCATCCGTCCCGCCTTTCTCCGGCAATCTGCTTCCATTTTCACCGGTCGTAGCCACAAATACGGCGTGTGGCGTCGTCGGCGACGTGGCCTGCCTGTGCGAGCACCACGACCTATTTACGTCAGTTGCTATGACTTGTTTTCAACATCCACTTTTCGCCACTGCTGTCATTACGATTTACTCATACAAACGCTAAATAAATTGCACTTATAATCTCGTCTTTACGACTTCGATTTGAATGCAGAAGGAATAATGATTTTTTTCATTGGATCTTTTATGTCAGGTTTATTCTTAAAATTTGAAAATCTACTTTATTTTTTCTAAATACCAAATGTAGGAAGTTACTTTTCTTTAAATTAAGAACAAATCTCTTGACATTCTATCTTTACAACAAATCGTACGACACTTCATGGAAATTCAAGCTTCATGGATAAAAAGATCGTGAACGTGTATCGCTGTACAATAGCAGATAAAAACTGGACACACAAAAAATAATGCATTTATTTATTTGTTCATGGAAAATTTACAGATTTTATGTTTTAATAACGAATATAATTAACTCGCTATCAAAGAAATGTTAAAGAATTACAAGTTCTCGCTTATAGATAAAATATTAAAAAGTTGTAAACCCAAACAAAAAAATTGATATTTATGATTATAATATTTATGATATGAAACTTTTTGCTATTTTCGATCTGAAAGTCTTCAAAAATATGCCTCACAGTAATTTATTGCATTATAGCTTAAAGATCGATTTGTATCTTTTTCGTGTTCTTCTATACCAAAAGTAAAATCTTAATACATTTTCAGTTATTTGAAATCAAATATCTCAATTTATTCGAAATAAACTCCCATTTTTAAAATTCAAAATTACGAAATGTATTGGACTTGTTGTTTGAAAAGAAAATTAGCCAATGACAAACATGAATACAACTGGAACTTTAGATGTTATTCGGAAAAAACACTTTTTACAAACTTTTCGTTAACAATATCTCTCGAATGAACCGACCAATTTGATGCAATTTTCAGCGATCGATGTCGCTTTCCAAGTAGAACAGCTCACTTGGAATTCATTGGTAGAGTAGCTTAAAAATATTGTAAAAGAACTCTTTTCGAAATTTTTTCTCTAATGATATCTTTTGAATAAATCAACCAATTTTTGTATGATTTTCACATTATTAATATTTTTCTGTATTAAGGAAAATATTTTTTAAACTATTTAGAACACACAAACACGCACACATAGACACATAGACAGAGAGAAAGAGAGGGATAATTAAATGTTTATTTGTTCTTAATATTGTTTGATTGAGAGCGACTATTTCAACTGCTGAATTTTTGGGTTCACATTGATTTATTGCGTTATTGATAACCTGCGTTAAGATCTTATTATGCGTATCTGTTTTCTTGATTCAATTTGCTTCATAAACTTGATTTATTTCTTTGACAATTTTATTGCAAAAGCTTCTATATCTGCAACAATTACGTTTTGAATCATTATTTTTGAGCACGAACGCTTAGCTTTTCTCTGTAAATTATCCCTGTTCCTCATGCAGCGAAGAAGGCCCGGACTTATTCTTGTTTTTAAAATTTGTTTTTCTTTGGAGGTGGTGATGGTTGTAGTATCGGTGTTGATCGCTTGTTGAATCAGGGACATAAAAATAAAGGTCGCAACATTATCCGTTATCCATTATCCGATTCATTATAAATTATACTATAATTGTATTTTTGATGACAGATGTCAGTCCTTCCGAGTTAATTCATAATATTGTTCGATTTATTTATTTATTAAATTTTGTAGCGAGACCAACCATCACTGAGTAATGATTGGTGGAAGAGGATTCAGTGACTAGAGGCTTCGCAAAAATTTTGACTTTTATAAAAAAATTTAAAGTGGTCAGACAAGTTTTGCACTGAGTAAATATTGTATGTGCCCGAAGGAACCCAAAAAAGCTACAGTACATGTAAAAAAATTGTATAAAAAAATATATTACGTTTTCAGTAGACATAACATATTCCAATATTTTATTAACCAATCTCATTTTCCTTACAATGTAGAATCTATCAAATCGATGATACACGACTTAAGAAGTAATCCTTCGCGTTATTTGGCAAAATAAAATGTACCTATTGATTACTTCTATTCTTTACCTTAGTCTGAGCAATATCAGAGAATTAAATGAAGTTAAATTATTTGACCAAGTAAACACATCTTCACCCATGTCTAGTCAACACCTTAAAAATATATTTTAAATAAATTCTTAGCTTATTAAAATTAATTTAATCAAATTAAATCGACTCCAAAAAAGTTAACTCAAATGGAGAAATAATATTTTTATGTGCACGAAATTAACCAATAAAAACTAAATCAAAAGTATGTACGAAACAAATTAGGGGTCTACATTTTTCTGAGGGCTGTGCCAGCAAAGCTATCGAATATAAAACATAATGAAAACAGAAACGATATTGACTATCGACTGCCTGATTGGCGCAGTTGGTAGTGACTCTACCTGCGCTGGGGGCGTGGGTTCGATTCTTACACAAGACAAACATTTGTTTATTTAACAGAAAATTAATGTTTACCTTTAGTCTGGGTGTTTCTATGTATTATATGTATATATTTACATAAAAATTAGTATCCATGTATTATATCAATTATCTTATATCTTCGTTGCTTCATTTGGGACTAGATGGTGCTGTGACTATGTCCGAAGATATTGTTATTATTATTAAAATACATCCGATATAAAACGGAATTAAAATACGTTTTACTTATATTTACTATTTAATATGTTTGTTTTTGTTCATTTAATTCGTATTCATATAATATATTCATAAATTTTTCAAGAGAGTTAAATTTTTTTTAACTACTTTTTTATTTCGCAACTTTTACTTTTAAACAAAAATATAAAATATTATGTTGTAAATATTTAAAGATTTCATTGAAGTCTTCATACATTTTTTAAGTAGAAACTAATTTAATTTTTTTTTTGTAATAAGTTGTAATAACTTTTTTGTATACGTATTTACACTTTGTTACTATTCTTAATTAATAAATGTGCAGTTGTTTTAAATAATAAAATGGGAACATCTCTCTCAAAAAGTGATATTAAGAAAGACACGGTAGCGAGTATTGTTCGCAAAATGAGGCTCGACTGGCAACGTAAAAGGCGACATCATGCACGGGCAGCTGCAACTCAAACGCTGAAGGTCGAATGATTGAGTCTGAATATGTCCACAACAAGAGAGCTGATCAATCTCAAGACGAACAAGATGTGCATCTACAATCAATGACACAGCGTGTCTGCGTGCTATAAAGGATTTAGATCCCAACAAACTTTTGAAACAACCGCACGATGTTATCAACGAGATTACCAACAAATGCTGTGTTCACGTAGCAATCCTTCTGTTACAACTCCTTCTAGTTTGCCATTGAGTAATAATAATCCACTCCAGTAGCTCGCATTTTGTGGCCTGGCAATAATTAATTTTTAGTTCTCGTCGTCGATTTATACCATGAGGTTAGTTTAGATTCGGTTATTTTTATTTTTCTTACGTGCTTTAAAATTTGACCAGTTTTGAGATTTTGAAATATTTACTCTTTGGCACCACATCCGTAGCCCGTATTAATAAGCCAGGCTATCACGCTTATCCGTATTAATTCATATCTTGAAAACTAATAAACTAATTTTGGTTAGAGTTTCACTTTTCCCTGAGTAATTTGAAGTAAACGTAAGCCAATAAAAAAAAATGGTCACAAGCGTATTACTAGTTTCAAAGAAATGTGTAGACAAACGTACATATATAAAAACATAAAACATACCTTAAAAATTTTGAATGTTTGTTTGGACGCTCTATTAGATAAACATGTATAAGTATGTTTCAGTTCCAATAATATTACATACATGTGTCAAATTGATAAACTCTCTTTTTAAAGTCAGTTAAAAATATTTGAACTAATTCGCTACACAACGACTTTTGTTATAAATAGAGAGCAAAAGTTTATATAAAAATTTTTTATTGCAGGAAATCTTCAATAAGAATGTCTTTCGTTTTGGATTTTCCTTTTGGATTGGATTTGGATTAGGATTCTCTTATTTATATTGTTTTCGCAGGTAAGTTTTTTACACAATCTTACACAGGTTACTTGGATAACTGTGATAATTCTGATGATAGCTAGTACATGCAATCGAAACTCTGATATGTGACGGAATGAGTACTTTATTAGATCAAAACCAATCGACGGAGGGCCTCGCTAACCGATGTCGTTCATTTTGATGAATCTGTATAACTTGCGCCGATCGCACGGTCCAGTAACTGCGACGCATCTCTCAAATGTCTGCCTTATCAACTTACGATGGTAGTTTCTGCTACTACCATGGTTGTCACAGGTAACGGGGAATCAGGGTTCGATTCTGTAAACGGAGCCTGAGACACGGCTACCACATGCAAGAAAGGCAGCAGGCGCGCAAATTTCCCACTTCCGGCACGGTGAGGTAGTGACGAAAAATAACGATACGGGATTCTTACGAGGCCTCGTATTGCGTGCACTTTGAATATTTTAACGAGGAAAAATTGGAGGGCAAGTCTGGTGCCAGCAGCCGCGGTAATTCCAGCTCCAATAGCGTATACTAAAATTGTTGCGGTTAAAAAGCTCGTAGTTGCATTTGTGCGCCGCGCTGTCGGTGCAACTGACACGCCTGCGGAGCATATCGTCGGTGAACCGTTCCGGGGCCGGTCTCGCATCGGTACTCGGCGGTTCAATCTTCAAAATCGTATTACATTGCCCTTAAACGAGTAACGAGATGGGCCGACAATTTTACTTTGAAATTAGAGTGCTCAAAGTGAGCTTGGTTGAATATTTTGTACATAGATTAATGGAATATGATCTCGGTTCTGTTTTGTTGGTTTTCAAAACTCCGAGGTAATGATTAATAGGAATAACTGGGGGTATTCGTATTGTGACGTTAGAGATGAAATTCTTGGATCGTCGCAAGACGAACATCAGCGAAAGCATTTGCCAAAGGTGTTTTCATCAATCAAGAACGAAAGTTAGAGGTTCGAATGCGATTAGATACCGCCTTAGATCCAACCGTAAATACGTCGTCTAGCGATCTGCCGACGTTAACACAGCGGCTCGGCGGGCAGCTTCCGGGAAACTAAAAATTTTGGACTCCGGGGGGAGTATAGGTGCAAAGCCGACACTTAAAGGAATTGACGGAAGGGCGCCACCAGGAGTGGAGCCTGCGGCTTAATTTGACTCAACCCGAGAAATTTCACGAAGCCCGGACACAGGAAAGATTGACAGATTAACAGCTCTTTATTGATTCGGTGGGTGGTGGTGTATGGCGGTTCTCAGTTGTTGCAGCGATTTGTCTGTTTGATTCCGGTGACGAACGAAATTCTAACCTGCTAAATAGGCGTTGTCATTCCTATGTGTCATACAGATTCTTAAGGATATACAAAATTTTCCCTTGTTACAAATTTAAAATCTTTATTAAGCAGAAACTTTTTAAAGATATTATGCATTCACCGAATAATCAGAGGATAAATGGACACAACTTGATTTTTTCTGGTGATTTTTTTTTCAATATTTTTATGTTATTGTGATTTCGTAAAATTTCTATTTTAAAAGTGCTACACTCAAGATTTCTTTTAGTACTTTTTGAGGGTTACCTCGAGGGATTATAAACGAGTTACAACAAAAACGTTACAAACAAAAGGATGGCTTACAAACGATTGGTAATTTAAAAATAAATAGTAGTTTTCAGACTATAAATTCTTAAATTTTAAGACGTAATTCAATTGTTATTTTATAACCTACGAAATAAAGGTATTTTAAATAGGAATAAAATCGCCAGCCACGCGTTAACCAAAGTATCGTCATTTGACGAGGGGGGCGCACTGACGTTCTTATCATAAGTCGCCCCCTCGCACCCTCCCCTACTCGCCCCAACCCCGCGCCGAACAACCCCGCTCTAAGGGAGACGGCAGAGACTGAAAGACGTTTTCGTCCCCAAACTCACACTCGATATAATTGTATTGCGTCGGACAACGGCAAAGTTTTACAATTAGGAAACGCTGTTTTATGTATATTGGGACTTTGTTGCAGAGAAACAAGTAAAATTAAGTATTACAAATTAAACAGATTATTCTCAGAATGACCTAAATGCAAAGTAATCTAACTACAAGAAATTTCCGTGCATCTGTTTATTAAGTAACTATCTTCCGCCCGCGGCTCTGCTCGCGTTGACATAGAATGAATTCTTTCACTTTATATGTCGATCTTAACCATGATCCTGATCGCTATTCCTCTTCCAAATTCAGTGCCGGCCCTGTTCTCGATGCCAATTTTTCTGATTCTTCATTTCGATAGCCGTCTTGTTCTTAATCTCGAATCGGATCTCGATTTAAGCAGATTCCGATTTTGACTCCGCTTTCGATCCCGGTCTCGCCCTCAGTTCTCACCTCAGTACTGCTTCTTATTCTGATTCCGGTCCCAATTCCGATTCTCATTTTGGCTCCATAGTCAATTTTGATGTTGATCCCGTTCTCGATTTCGAACCCGACTCAATTTTGCTCCTCGTCGAATATGCTATTTCGATTTGGTTCCAACTTGGTCGAATCCGGAAAAATGCTAGTATCAAAATAAAATTTATACTATATTACTCGGGAATAGTGTAGCTTTATAAGGTGAAAGAGTTCTTAAAATCTCTAACAGCACAAACGTGCAAATGCAGTCGATGCTATGTAAATGAAATGTTAATAGTATATTTTACTGAGAGAGCTTCTTATTAATGAAGTAGCACTCGGAATCGATTCAGTAATTTGAATAAATGGTACTAATACGAGAACAAGGTTAGTCAAGAACATTAGTTTTCTTTTTCAGTAAAAAAACGAATAAAAATAATTATACTTATTCATTTTTATACATTATCCAACCCCACTCTCTTTCACCAAAATGCGAAAGACACTTACCACCACTTTGCACTAATAAGCAATATTTACACCAAATTTCATTAGTGACTCGCTCTATAGAAAGCTTCACATCCAATTCAACTTTCTTTTACTTCTGCAAATAGCGAATTCCACAAATTCTTTTTAGTAATGAATAACAGAAGTGATTTATAAAAGTAGTGAGACGCGTCTTTCACGATGGAAATTTATTACAGAAATAAAATTCAATTGGGATAGCTGACAATTTTCCTTAAAAATTGAGCTATCAAATACAAAAAGGTTTCTTTAAATACGAATGGTAATCACATAGATGAGCATATTCAAACAAATAAAAACAAAACTACTCAATTGTTTAGATAAGCCTTTTAGCCTTATTCAAAATTGAGCTATCAAAAGCCAAAATATTTTTTAACCCCATTCGCGGTGTCAAAGATTAGCGCGTTCAAATAAATAAGCTTTTCAGTTTTATACATTAGTACAGATATTCATCCATATGACACAATAATAATAAATAATGTCAGAATTTAGAGTAATTAAATATTAGGGTCAGTATGTTGTCTACGCATCTACCCTAAGTAGAAAATTTAAGTCCACAAGAATTTAAAAAGTGTAGAGACAATAACATTAAACGATTTTTAATATTTAATGGGGTAAAGGTATAATATTTACATAAACAAATCTTCAAATATTTGTTTCACATTTTTTTAGAAACCATCCTTAAAATATCATCCTTAATAATATCTCAAAAAATGTTTTACGGCTATTAAATTCGAATTAGATTAGATTAGATGCCTTATTTTTATTAATCGTAATGTTAAGATTCTAGTGCGTATTTGAAAAGAGATTTCCATTCTAAAATTAAAATTCTAAATAAGACATCAGAATGTGATTGGGGATAATCTCACTACTTTTAAAATTTATAGATTTTTTAATACTCGAAGTGAAGTTGTAATACAGGGTTTTTTTTAATAGTTAATATTAACTGTTAAAAAAAACCCTATAAAAAACACTATATAGTGTTTTAGAAAACAATGAATATTCAATTTCAAATTTGATACATTTCAACACTTTTATTAGGTCGGGGAAAAAGTTTGTTTGTATCGAATAAGTAAACAGTTGCAGTAAAGTTTCTTTGGTTGTGCTGTTTTTATCTGACTAGTTTTATACCATTAAGCAGATGACACTTTAAAAAAAGAAACCTAAAAAGTTAAAAGTGTCTCGCCATTTTTTTATTGTTTTTTGTCCATCAAAATAACTGAATCTATCATAGAAATTCGACACACTTGAAGTTTCATTATAAAAAAAGGTAAAAGCGACTCAAGCCGAAAAAAATTGTGACGTTTATGGACCTAAAGCGTCGGTAAGAATAGCAAAAAACTAGTTCAAACGTTTTCAGTTCGGTAATTTTTATGTCAAAAATGAACCTTGCTTTGGTCGACGTCTTACGGATAAAGTTTTAATTTAAGTTTAAAATACCATTTTGGAAAATTCAGGACAAGATCGACATATTAATTTTTACGACATAGCTGAAAAGGTGGGAATTGACTACAAAACAGTTTTGACGTATTTGAATAAAGCTGGGTATACAAAAGAGCTCGATACTTACATCCTACACGAGCTCACTGAAGAAATTTAATTAATCGTATACTCATTTGCGATTCTGTATTTAAACGTAATGAAACCGAACTGTTTTTGAAATGATTGATCACTGATAATGAAAAATGAATCACTTAAAAAACAGGAATTTGCAAAAACGATGACGGTCAAAAGGCAAGGAAGTTTCATAGACTAGCGAAACCCGGATTAACCCCCAATAAGTTCCTACTACGTGTATGGTGAGATTAGAGCGTTATTAATTATAAGCTTCAATTTGGATTTCTATAGCTCAGATTTCTACAATTCACATTTCTTCGAAATTACTACAGCAATAGGATTATGTCACTACCTAGAAAATGGCCGCAAGTTGATGACCAAAATGGCATATATATGTAATATTTTAATTAAATATAAATAAATTATCCTGAAAAACTATCTTGAATTTCTAAATAAAATATGAATAAACTTTTTTCCCTACCCTTTACTTAGTTATTTTCTAAAACTCTTTAGCTTTATTAAAGAACTAGCTCTTGTACGCAGCTCCGCCTGCGTAGGCATCGAATGAATTCTCCCATCTTTTCTTTCATCCCATGCCGATCAATCACGCTGTCAACCATCATATCGACATTGTCTTTTTTTCAATTTAAATTACGATTCTCTTCATAATATTCACAATTCACCCGCGATTCTGCCCGCGTGAACATACAACGAATTCTGTCATCTGTTGTATCAAACACAATATTATCAGGCATGATCCCGACATTGGTCCCGTTTTTAATTTCATTCCAGAAGAACCCCTATTCTCACACAGAAAACAGATCTTATGTCGTTATTTTTTTATTATGAAACTATCTCACGCTATTTATTTTTATCTCGATTCTGATTGTGATCTCAATCCGCAACCGACACTGAACTTGAGCTTCTAATAAACATTGTTGTTACTAATAATTAATCAGAATAAGAAAAAAACTTCGTTCTACGATCGAAGCGAACCCGCGAGCAAATTAGTATCCTTATGGATTATAGAAATTAAATTCAATGTTATTCTACGATATAAGGTATTTTGTTTTAAAGTTACATCTAATTCTGTTTAGCTGTTAAAGCATGATTGAGAAACAAACGTTCAAAAATACAAACTTTCTCTTATGTAATAATTATTATTAAAATAAGTGGCCAGTTTTCATTACATCAGTCATTTTATAAAGTTATTCAACTTATATATTTTAATTCTGATAAAAAACTAGTCAAGTCAAATCTAACCTACTTTAAGATCTCACATTTTTTTTAAATAACAGCAATTGTTATAGGTATCCAATAAAGCAAAAAAATAAACTTTACTACTTGTTCATAATGTTATTTTGTTCCTATAAATACACATTTGGATTTTGCATAGAACTTGGCACTCATTTAGATCTCCATTCTTTTTGGGGCGAAGCCCACAAGCCAAGCATAATTTTGTATTGAACTTGGCTCTCCTTTTTTACATTTATGTTTTTGGTGAGATATTATTACTTTTTGTAAAAAAAACTAGGCAGGTATTGAGATTTAATGTTTTTTTTTTGCGTTTCCGCTGCATGGTTTCCTTTTTTATGCTATAAAATAATACATATATTGGGATAGCTTCAAATATCTGCTTGTAACATTGTAACGGTTCTAACGCTACAATTTAAAAAAAAAATTGTACGGGGACCACCCATTTTTAATTTTTAGATTTTTTCCTACGCTTACCCACAATTACCGAGCTAGATTTTAAATTTAATCCTTCTAGGTCATCTGGAAGTATATTAGATTTAGGTACTAAATGTCAGTCAGTCAGTCGGTTCTAAAATTTACGACTTTTTGACCTTCATATCTTTACTAACCGTTTGACCTAGCTTCA